AGTGAAGCATGAGGCCAGAGGGTGGCGACACCTGTTCCCGCCAAAAGGGGCAAGGGAGGCAACTCTTGGTGAGTACCAATTAGTGATTTTACATTGAAGGGAGCTTCAATTAAGGAGATACAAGTGTTCCACTATGTTCGCAAGAAGAAGAAGACAAGCAAAAGAGCATGAGTCAGGATAAGGAAAAATATATAAATATCATATAAATACTCCCTGACATCTTAATTGGTAAAAGTAGGAGAAAAACTTGCTTTCCTTCTTAACTGTGAAGACTGTAAACTTGATCAAACTTTCACCTTTATATACCGTATATACATATCCACACAAAGTATGCATGATAATTGAACATCAAAAAAATATTCAAGGCTCATTTCTATTGTTTTCAGGTGGTTAACACATGTGGACACACTAATTAAAGAAAGGCATGTTGATCATCCTGATGTTTCATGGGCTGTTTACCATGCAAAGAAGCAACATTCAGATCAGATCATCAAGTCCATTTCTTCTCTCCTTCCACTTTTCACAAAAAATGCAGACTCTGCTGCAATGTTGAAACATGGCATGGATGTGATTACACAGGCAACATCTTACCTCAATCCCGGACAAACTCCAGTCATAGCTGCAGACCAACCATTGTATGCCACAATGAAGCAGATACAGTGGCAGTATCCAGCAACACATGGTGAGGTCAAGATGATAATAATGATGGGAGGATTGCATATAGAGATGGCGTTTCTGAAAGTGTTGGGAAACTGGCTCATGGACAGTGGATGGACAGATATGATAGTTGCAGCCCAGATTGCATCTTCTGGCAAAGCTGATTCGTTCCTTCGAGGATCACATGTCAGAAGGACTAGACGAGCACATGAAGTCACTGCTTGTGCACTTTATCATCTTCTTCTTGAGGCTCATGGAAAATCTTCAGCAACATTTGAAGACTGGATCAACACCAGATCGAAGATATCCCCAACATTCCACTTCTGGTTGATGGTTCTTAACTTGGAACTATTGCTCTTGTCATTTGTTGGATGTTTAAGAAGCGGAAACTTCTGTGAGTATATCAGACTTCTAGAAGCCATGACACCGTGGATGTTTGCCTTTGACCACACAAACTATGCAAGATGGATGCCAGTGTATATTCGAGACCTAAAGAATCTCAGTCATATTCAACCAAACACAACTGAAGAGTTCAAGAAAGGGAATTTTGTTGTTCACAAGACAGAGAGGGCTTATTCTGCAATCCCATTGGATCATGCTCAGGAACAGAATAATGCAAGCGTAAAAGGTGATGGAGGTGCCATCGGTCTTACAGAGAATGCATCTGCCTTGAGAAGATGGACAGTTGGCGGTCCAGAAGTGAACAGAATTCTTGATGAATTTGATGCCTCTTTGAATGTTCAAAGTATTTCTTCTGTTTCACACCATGAACAGAGTAGAGGAATGCAAGAATCATTTTACACAGATGTTAGTACTCTTACAGATGTAATCAGAGAGTTAGGAAGTGCCATTTCTTGAGCATGGACATGATCTTCTTGTAATATCAACAAGGGACATTGCTGGATCAGCTGTTGTAGAAACTCTGAATAAAATTGAACGCCTTGGGAGAGATCAATATGAAGATTTTGTCAAGGAGCGGTTCATCAAAGGTATTGCACTTTCAGAACCTATCAAGAAGAACAAACTGTCACTTTTGTCATCACCTCAAATAAAATCACAGTCATCCTCAAAGATGCAAGTTGTCAGCCTAAAGAATGACTGTAGTCTGTTCTCTCGCCTTTACATATCCTGTCAAACTAGAGAAGGCAATTTAGATGAGTTTTTCAAGCATGAGAATCAAACTTGTCCACCATCACTCTCACATCTTGGTATGCTTCGATCATCTGTTAAATCACAGCTTCTTCAGTGCCTGGAAGATGTTTTCTGTCCCACAGTGAACAGACCAGATGTTGAGGTAACAATACTAGATGGAGCAGCAGTTGTGAATATGATGAAACCTGGAGAACATAAGACATTTTCATCTTTCAGTGAGGGAGTGTTTGCTAAGTATCTGGAAAACCAGCTGGAAAACACAACAAGACTTGATATTGTCTTGGATGTGTACAAGACAGATAGTCTAAAGGCGAGTGCAAGAAGTAGGAGAGGCCATGGACAGAGAAGGCGAGTTGAACCACATTCCTTCATTCCTCACAACTGGAAAGAGTTTCTTAGAAGTGACAACAACAAAACAGAATTGTTCCAGTTTCTTGGAAAAGAAGCCATGAAAACCAATACTGACAAACTGATCATCAGTACTGTGAATGAAACAGCTCTCTCAAATAAGCCATATGATGTTTCAGATCTCTCACCATGCAGCCATGAAGAAGCAGATGCCAGGATGATACTGCACTTGTCAGAAGCCAACAAGAGAGGATTCCTGCGATTTATGATAAGAACAGTGGACACAGATGTTGTGGTGTTAGCCATTTCATCAGCAGCAGTTCTTGATATCTCAGAAGTATGGCTTGCCTTTGGTACAGGAAAACAGTTCCACTACATACCTGCGCATGAAATAGCCGCTTCATTAGGTCCAAGGAAATCACTGTGCCTCCCTCTCTTCCACAGTTTCACAGGATGTGATACTCTATCTTCCTTCAGTGGATGTGGTAAAAAGAAAGCTTGGCAAGTCTGGTTTCATCTCGAGGAGGCAACTGATGCATTTGAATGTCTGTCCAAGCATCCTGATAAAGTTACAGATTCTTTGATCAGCACACTTGAACGTTTCACAATATTGATGTATGAAAGAACAAGTGACCATGTGAATCTGAACGAAGCAAGAAAGTACATGTTCTCTTCGAAGGGTAGAGCAATAGAAAATATACCTCCAACATCTGCAGCTTTCAAAGAACATGTTAAGAGAGCAGTTTATCAGGGAGGACATATATGGGGACAGTCAACCATCCGTTGTCCTGATCTGCCTGATCCATCCAAATGGGGTTGGCAGCGCAATGCATCCAACATGTGGGAGCCCTTATGGTCAACAATACCAGACGTGTCAAAGACCTGTCAAGAACTGTTGAAGTGTCGCTGCACCAAAGGCTGTTGTGGCAGATGCAAGTGTCTCAAAGCTGCCCTCAAGTGCACTGCACTGTGTCTTTGTGGTGGAGACTGTGCCCAATAATGTGGTCATATGTTGCTCTGAGTAGGTAAGTGAAGAAATCCCCAGATGAATATTATTCATGGGAATCTGGATTAGGTTTACGCTGACTCCCAGTATCATGGAAAATGGTGGCCAATTAAGGTTTTCAATGTTCCGACATGTATCGAATGGTACAAGCAACATACATTTATCTGCCAAATTCCATGTATATTGTATGAAAATTGTGGAATTGACATTGAATCTAAGTCTCTGATGGTGTAATTTTGAGTGGAAAATGGTGGCCATCTTGAATATTCAATGTCTCCCTCTAAACCCTCTCCCTCTATATTATCTTCATAGTACAAGCAACATAACTGGCAAATTCCATGCATATTGTGTGAAAATTGTGGAATATACATTAAATATAAGCCTCTGACGGTGTAATTTTGAGTGGAAAATGACGGCTATCTTGAAAAATGGCAGCCATCTTGAATTTTCAATGCCTCCCTCTCAGTATATTATCTTCATGGTACAAGCAACACAACTGCCAAATTTCATGCATATTGTATGAAAATTGTCGAATATACATTGAATATAAATCTCTAACGGTGTAATTTTGAGTGAAAAATGGCGGCCTTCTTGAAAAATGGCGGCCATCTTAAATTTTCAATGCCTCCCTCTCTGTATATTATCTTCATAGTACATGCAACATAACTGCCAAATTTCATGCATATTGTATGAAAATTGTGTAATATACATTGAATATAAGTCTCTAACGGTGCAATTTTGAGTGGAAAATGACGTCATCTTGAAAAATGGTGGCCATCTTGAATTTTCAATGTCTCCCTATCAGTATATTATATTTATAGTACAAGCATCATATCTGCCCTAATTCATGCATCTTGTATGAAAAGTCTGGAATTTACATGGAATCTAAGTCACTGACGGTGTAATTTTGAGTGAAAAATGGTGGCCATCTTGAATTTTCAATGCCTCCCTATCTGTATCTTATTTTTATAGTATAAGCAACATATCTGCCAATTTTCATGCTTGTAACATGAAAATGCATAATTATACCATTATCCGCTGGACTACTAAGGAAGCTGTCCGATTAGGGGAGCAGCATGCCATGGAGTCACGGACGAATGGACAAGGAGGCCTAAGGAAGAAGTTTGTAATTTTGTATGAATCTTCAGGTGAGACGGATATAAATCTGAAATCATTTTTGCTGCTGTTTGCAACTGTATACTTTTAAATAATTTATATTCTATTACAAAACAATATGCATTAAGATGTACACGTACAGAATCTGACTTGATTTTTTTTACAGTTATTAAATACACTAAGAATAATAAATGAAAAATACATTTTCAGTGAAGACCAAACATTCAAAGACAAGCGGGCTACCCTTTCTATCAATTTAAACATGGAATACATGCACCCATCTTGCATGCCCTTCCTATCTATCCTTGTTTCTTCTTACTCATCTTGTACCACAAGCATTTTCCTCCCCTGTTTATCTGCTGCACTCTCTTCTTTTATTTATATACAGGTTGCATATATGCACAAAGACAAGCCAATTTCATGTCTTGCAGCCCCTTGCCTCATGGGCACGTTTGGGCATGTGTGAGTGCATGGCTAAATCAATATAAAATACAACCTGTATTCCAAATAAATATATGAAAGGATCATGTTTGTCCAGTCAACACAGACAAGTGATAGTTTAGTGACTGAAAAATGGGCTCTGATCCTAAATGAATTGTATTCTTGCATTGGCACCTCTGTGGAAGAAGGGGGATGTTTCTGTCTGATGGTACAAGATCAAAGTCCAAAAGGAAATTGCAATGTCTTGTTTCAGGATAAGAAAACAATATTGTGGTCTTACCGTGCAGGTTTTCATGGCTTTGATGATTCAGAGTTGAAACACTATCAATACCAGCTTCTTTGCTTCTGCCTGGCACTTTCATGTGAGACTTGCTAAGATGTTGTCTTGGTATTTTTCTTGGAGAAACCTCTGACCGAACTTTAGGATGTGCTGTCCATGGTCGGAAGTGACCACTGGTGCTACCTGTCTGGATAAAGGCAGCTGCACGAGAATCATATTCATTGGAAATTTGGGCTGATTGTGGACGTTGAACTTTCTGAAGAAACATATTTGTTCTGTACTCTTGCTCCATTTGTTTCAAGAAAAATGCCTGAAAAAATATAAATGAATAAATGACTTAAGTCTACTATAATAGACTGAACCCACAACCCACCATCACTTGATGATGAAGCTGCCCAAAAATACAGTTTACATTGCATGTTATGTTGTGACATAATTTCAATACTCTTCAGTCATCATGGTCATGGTCTAGAAGCCAGACCCTCAAAATGGTGGACATGTGGTGCAGTTCTGGCAACTGAATGGGATGTGGTTTTTCACAAACAAGAATGAGTGTATGTCACCCAAACAAACAGTACTCCGGTCTTCTCAAGTAGTATTAGTTTACACTGTAAACATGAAACAACTGGCACACTTAAACAACATAATGCCACCTATATACCTTCCATTTGGATATCATATTATTATCCACCAGCTTTAAGGGTTTTACAGAATATCAGTACAGTGCAGGTGGAGCATGAAGTGACACAAATATTAACCATCTTGACATTTATCAAAACATAGATCCGACATCAGCTGAATTGTTGTTTCTGCCACACTGTAAATACACGGAAAATGTTAGATAGTGCAACAGTATCTTTGACATATTTAGCATTGTTGATGTAAAGCATGGAGCTGTTACTGCTGAACAGACATTATGCAATCTATGTTGCTGATCTAAATAGAAAGTACCAACTTTCATTTCCATTTTCATGCATACAGTGCCAACCAAATGTTAATATGATGTTTAATTGATATAGCTGAATCTAGAAAAACATAACTCATATTTTTCTCATTACATTTTCTATAAAAATTGACCTTTGACCTTACCAAAATATATTTGTGACTAGCATATAAAATATTATTGTCCACAATTATAAAGCATGATCGGAACATTCTAAAACTACTGATTTTATTTAAATCACTCAATCCAAACTAAAGTTATTAAATTAAATCATCCAGTTATTGGTTAAAATATTGCCATAACTTTTAAATATGTTGCACCTTAAAAGGATCCCTGCACGGTAGTCATGCACAGTAGCTGATGACAACCAGTTTTATATCAAAGCTAATTCGTTCCTGATTGTGATAAATCACATCCTATTAGGTCACCAGAAATGTACATTTTCACCATTTTGGGGGTCTGGCTTTGAGGCAATTAGTTCATCTTTGTGATACAGTCACTGTTGCACCAAGGCCTAAAATGACATGTTTGCTTTTCATTTCCATATTGTGGTTCACTTGGTGAGAATTTGCTGTGGACAATATCTTTTCTTTTAATTTCAGTTCCACAATGTAACGGAATATAATTTTTAAACTTATCCTATCTCACGACTTGAACCTCTCTCTCTCGCTTTGACTTTTAGTGGAACGACTAACTTTTTTCCATAGGCCTCCTTGTCCATTCGCCCGTGCACACCATGCTGCTCTCCTTAATTAGCTTCCTAGTTCCTAATGAAGCTTGCAGCATGCTTCACTAATTGCCCAGATCACTGGCTTACCAACCTACTTCGGTACTTACCACGTTGAGATCTCGATACAGTTCCTCTGACCGACGTTCGGGTGATCATTGTTCTGATACCACTAATAGGCCTACAGTCACTTACGATGTTCCGACTATACACTCTGAGAATCCTAGGATCATCGCAGAGTCATAGGAACCTGATCACAAATCCCACTCCTACAGCAACTCTGGATCTAAATACGATGATCAGAGCCATAACCTCAACCTGGAACCAAATACAGCCTTCTACTCCAGCCCATCCGGCTTCGGTAGCACCTGGCTCTTCATCTGGTCCACCTCCTGAGATTGATCCAGTCCAAATAGTCATGCTTTGCAGCAGTTGAGACAGCTCAGGTACTTGTAATGGATCCTGTTTCGTTTACAGATTCGAGTTTTATATGTATTGTGAATTTGAGATTGCCGGACCAAGTTTTTGTACTGATCGTCACATGGCTGAAGTAAAGTTGGCTCGTATTGAGCTAGAGTTGTGTCATTAATACGAAGATATTACATGGTGTCAGAAGTCATGGCAGGTCGAATTGACATTCCGCCCATGAATTTCGATGCCGCTAATGTAGCAGAAAGTTGGAAAAAGTGGAAACAGACGATAGAATTGCTGTTCAGTGGACCACTCGCGGCGAAGATGAGAAGGAAAAGTGTAGCTATTTTCTGTTGTACATTGGTCAGGAGGGCAGAGATGTATTTAATACTTGGACATTGACAAATGAAGAAAAGGTCATACACATATAAAAATTGCAACCTCTGTACACAAATTTGGAAATATTTTCCTTATTTTACATGGTTACAAGAAAATGAAAACGTAATAGCGATTTGGATGGCCCTATCCGATATATAAGTTAGCTCTTAGATTCCCATATTGTCCTGTTTGTGTAGATGTATTTTGACTAATTTTGCATGTTACCAGAGTAATTAGCCATATCTTCAAATGTAATGAAATTGAAGATATTACATGGTGTCTTTAAGAAGTCATGGCATAAAATGATTGATTTTCCATTTAAATAGTGTCGAATTGACATTCGCCGCACCTGTGTGGCATCCATGAATAACATTTCACAACACCCGATGCTTTGTTTATGATTATGTAGCTAATGTGCAAAAGAGCAGAAAGTTGGTCCAAATTAAAAGTGGAAACAGTTTGATATCCGATAGAATTGCTGTTCAGTGGACCACATTAATATTATCAGTTTTACTTATAAGGTTGAATTAAATCGCCGTTCATTAACCTGTTCATGTGAAACTGCAATATTGGTCCAAAGATGAATATTGTACAAGGAAAAGTGTAGCTATCTGTTGTACATTGGTCAAGGATGTGGATACTGGGCAGAGATGTATTTAATACCTTCACCTCAAAGAAATTGGACATTGACAAATGATTTCTTACAAAAGAAAGGATACACAAAATTCAGGGATCGTTTGTCCATAAATATGAGATGTAAGTAATCAACCTCTGTACACAAAATTTGAAAACTACTGCATTCCTATTTCCTAAGCGAATGTGACGGATGAATGTTGGAAAATTTCAGAAAATGCTACCACAATCAGTCTTTTTGCTCATTTTATCTAGACAGTTGGCATTGGTGACAAAGACCACTTGCAGTTTGAGTCTAAAATGTATGGGAGTTTATTAATACTGAATATGAAATATCGTGATGTAATATGCGTGTTCAGGGCCAAAATGAGACAGTGGATTCATATGTGACAGAAATCAAAACCCTCATACAGCAAATAACTTGTTGTGAAAGATTGTGCCTTTGGTGCGATTGACTGATGACATGTTAATACCGTGTTCAGGGCCAAAATGAGACAGTGATAGAATAGTTTGTGGAACGAGTAACAAACAAACAAGTTCAAGAAAGACTGTTACAAGAAGCAGATTTGACAGTAGATAAGGCCCTTGAAATAGCGAGAAGTTTTGAAGTGAGTAAAAAACAGATGAAAGAAATTCAGTCAGAGGCAGTTTGTAGCATTCAGAAGAGAAGTGGTGCTTATACTCATCAGAGGAAGTTAGAGGACAGTAGTCAGAAGCGATCAGCAAGCGCACAGGCTAGTGTGAAAACAAGTAGTGATATGTGTGAAAGATGTGGAAAATCACATTCAAAGAATGACATGTGTCCTGCAAGAAGTGCTGAGTGTTTGAAGTGTCACAAATTTGGACATTATGCATCAGTTTGTAGGTCCAAAACAGTAGCGAGGAACACACCTAGAACACAGAACACAAGAAGGTCAGGAAGATGGAAACAAGGTCAAAGCAACCCAAAAGTCCACAGCTTAGAGACTGATGAACTCTTTATTGGGACAATAGAGGATAGAAAGTGTGAAAGTGGAGAAGACTATTCAGAACAATATGCAGATATCCAAGTGAACAAGAAGTTCATAGTACCTATGAAGATAGATACAGGAGCACAAGTTAATGCTATGTCAGAGAGAGACTTTCTAAAAGTCTGTAAGTTTGCAGGTCCTCTTGAGAAACCCGGACACACGGCTTTATGGCTATGGACAGAAGTGCTTGAAAATTGCAGGTATGACTTACCTGGAGTGTAGTTACAGAAATGTGTCTGTATGCCTAAAGTTCTATATAGTGCAAGAAGAGGCACCCTCAGTGTTGGGACTTCGAGCTTGTGAGGACTTAAACCTGATAAAAGTCCTGTTGAACATTGAGCCTGGTTACCGATACAAGTAGTTCTGAGAAAATACTCAGGATGTTTCCAGATGTCTTCAAAGGCTTAGGATGTCTTGAAGACAAGTACAGTATTCAGCTTGACCCTGAAGTGAAACCAGTAATACATGCTCCACGAAAAGTTCGATTGCCCTACATGAGAAAGTTCAAGTGGAACTTAAGCGAATGGAGGACTTGGGAGTGATCATGAAAGTGGAAAAGCCCACTGAGTGGGTAAATTCTATGGTAGTCGTCCCTAAAGCCGGTGGTGAAATTAGGTTGTGCCTTGACCCAGCTGACCTAAATAAGGCGATACAGCGTGAGCACTACAGAATGCCCACGATACAAGATGTGACCTCAAAGGTTGCTGACCACAAGTATTTCACAGTCCTAGATGCGAAATTGTCATACTGGCAAGTACAACTTGACCACGACTCCTCCATGTTGACCACGTTCAACACTCCATGTGGTAGATATAGGTTCTTACGTCTTCCATTTGGAATTAAAAGCGCCAGTGAAGTGTTCCAAAAGCGAATGGACAAAATCTTCGAAAAACTGAACTATACTCACCCAATAGTAGATGATATTCTCATCAGTGGCAGAACCATTGAGGAACATAACAAGAACCTCATGGATACTCTTGAGACTGCAAAAGAAAGTGGTATCAAGTTAAATGCAGACAAGACTCAACTGTGTTCGCAGGAAGTGAAATTCTTTGGTGAAATACTCAGCTCTGATGGCATGAAACCAGACCCGGATAAAGTTGAAGCAGTGCGCACAATGACAACCCCAACAAGCAAGAAGGAGCTTGAAGGGTATCTGGGAATGTTCACTTATCTTGCACAGTATTCCCCTTGTCTTTCTGAGAGAA